GACAGAGACAGAGCAGAGACAGAGACAGAGACAGAGACAGAGACAGACGACAGAGACAGAGACAGAGACAGAGACAGAGACAGAGACAGAGACAGAGACAGAGACAGAGACAGAGACAGAGACAGAGACAGAGACAGAGACAGAGACAGAGACAGAGACAGAGACAGAGACGAGACAGAGACAGAGACAGAGACAGAGACATAGAGACAGAGAACCATAGACAGAGACAAGACGAGACGAGACAGAGACAGAGAGCAGAGACAGAGAACAGAGACAGCAGAGCAGAGTACTAGACCGAGACAGAGACAGAGACAGAGACAGAGAGAGGTGTGGTTCAGAGGGCGAGTTCGGGTGAGTTAGGAGGAGTTCAGAGTATAGAGTAGTGACGTGGTGGATGGGTTCAGAGGGTGGTGACGAGTTGGGCCGTATGGGACGAATGCTGTGGGATTTGGACGAACTCTGGGGGGTAGGCCGAGTTTGGGATGGGCAAGACAAGCTCAGAGTAGGCTGGAAGGGTTCGGTGTGATCAGGATTGGTTTCGCGTGGGCAGAGCGAATTTGAGACCCGTTTTTTGTCAGTTTGGACCTGGTACTGCGATTTTCTGCCTTGCCGGGCAAGTCGAGTCGTCCGCGGATGGGGATTGGGGCGGCCGCGGCTGCCGGCCGTCGCCATGCGGTCGTGACTGAGTTTCCTGCTGTTCCAGTTTGACGACCACCACGGCCGGAAGCCGGTGACGCCCGATCTGCACGGGTCGTACGACCACAAGCGTCTCCAGCGAGGTGGGTCGGACGGTGAAGCGGACTGTCACACCGCTGTGTAGCCGGCACTCTCCCTCCTCAGCTGACCGGAGCCCCAGCAAATCACCGCTGATGTATAACATTATTGCGCTCGTACACACCCTAAGCTATAGGTTTATATCATTGCCCCCCTCCCCCCAAAGAAAAGAAGAAATCGTTTACCGGTAAACTAACATCAGGACTTTGGTGTTCTTTGTGCCTGTGGTTTCCACGCGCCCTGCTTAAATTTCACAGGGTTTGGCTCTGACTCAGCCTGGTTGATCTGCACTATCTGTATCTGGTGTTGTCTGTAGTCCCATGACCTGCCGACCGTCTTGTTCTGACTGACATCACTGGTCTGGGACGAGCTGACACCCGTGCCTGTCCACCCCGCAGCCGCGCACGTGGACGAGACGCCGCTGTCGTCTCTCTCCAGCTCCGTGCAGTCCGGTCTGAGCGACGCACCGGCCGCGCCGCCGCTGGCTGCCATCTCTGAGCGGCCGGCCGAACCTGAACCTCGCCCCGCCGCCGCCGCTGCTGCCGCGCTCGTACCAACTCCAGCTCCCAACCCCTTCGGAACCCCGGAACGTAAGTACTCCACTGTAGGATTGCATGAATTGTATGTGTTTGGTCGTTTTATGTGTGGTTGAGTAGTTGTGGGTCGTTCACTCAACATGCCACCGCGCGACCTGGCATTGCCACCACGGCCTGACCGGGGAGCGCAGGGTTGTGGACCGAGACACCTAAGCACCTAAGGCGATGGAGAAGTCTTATTCAGATCGTGGCAACAGTGCTGAAGCCGTGGCTGGTCTGTTGAACACGCTGGGGGGTTGTGACGGCGCCTGCCCTGCCGCAGCGGAGCGCGCGGTGTCGGCGCGGCTGGGCAGCGCCCGCTCGTCCGGCCACCGACGCCCCTCGGCTGAGGTCAGCGGCGCGACAACCGCCGCCGCTGCCCCGGTCACAGCCGCCACCGCCGCAGCCGACCCAGCCGGAGCTGCCGTCGCCGCCGCAGACTCAGTCGGAGCCGCCGCCCGCCGCCGCTGCCCCGGTCGCAACCGCCGCAGCCGCCGCCGCCGCAGTCGTCGCAGTCGCCGCCGCCGCAGCCGCAGCCGCAGCCGCAGCCGCCAGTGCCGGCGCCGCGTGCCGAGCCGGCCAACCCCTTCGACGAGCCAGAGGGGAGCAACCCGTTCCTGGAGCCGGAGGACATGGACCAGGAGCAGGAGGAGGCGGCGGCCGCGGCCGCGGCGCCGGAGGCCAAGGAGTCTCCCCGCGACAAGCCGCGTAAGGAGAGCTCCAGCAAGAAGGAAAAGCTGGAGAAGATGATGTCGCCGTTGAAGAAGACGCCGCACATCTTCCGCCAGCTCACCTCGAAGAAGGAGAAGGACTCGCTGGAGGCTTTGGAGAAGGACGCCGCGGGTGACGACATGCCACGTGAGTCTGCCCGCTTCTTCTGCCCGCATCCATCGAATCAGAGGTCAATCTGTCTTCGCGGGGGCTCTGCTTCATGTCATTGTCCATGTCACTGACAATGTAACCTGTCTCGTCCGTCTCGTTAAGTGCAACGGCGCAAGGCGTCGGCGATCACCAACAGCTCGCTATACGCTGCCCACCCTGCCGTGCCGTGTCTGTCTCAGCGTGTTCCGCGCACCGGCGCGTCTCACTGGCGCCGACTGACGCTCCGATGTGGGCCCGGCAGCGAGCCCCACGGTGTCGCTGCTGCCGCTGTCGGACGGCCGCGAGAGGCGTGTGGTGGAGGGCGGCAACGAGCGCGGCCCGGCCTCGGCCGAGCCGTCCCGGCTGTCGCGCGACACTCTTCGCGCCTTCGACGGCCGCTCGCGCGACAGCCTGATCGAGCAGGTGCTCGGTCTGCAGCAGGAGCTCAAGAAGGTCAAGGACGAACTGAAGAAGTCCAAGGCGCAGGTGGGTCGCGTCCGGCAGTGTCGAAGGAGCTCTTGCGTGGAGGCGCTGCTTGTCCTTCCCGTAAACGACCGAAAAAATTACTATCCTGAGTAACGGCGTGCTTTCCCTGTGTCACGCCGTGTCCACCCTACTGTGTTTGGCCAGGCGTACATGTACTAGGTGTACATTTTAGGCAGGCGTACGGTATGGCACGGTACGGTGTCCCGAGCGAGCTTGGTACGGCGCCGGTCCGTGCCGACGGCGGTCCGACCTCATCTGGCTATGTGCCGCTCTGCAGACATCGGATCTGGACGAGTACCTGGACACGCTGCTGCTGCGCGTCATGGAGGCGCAACCGGACCTGCTGCAGAACCCGCTGCGCACGGCAGCTGGTGTGAAGTACGCCGGCCGGGCCTGCTGAGCCGGGAGGAGATGACACACGGTACGGACCGCTGGGGAGGGCACGGGGTCAGGCACGGACCGCTGGGAGGGTACGGGGACAGGTACGGACCGCTGGGAGGGTACGGGGACAGGTACGGACCGCTGGGAGGGCACGGGGTCAGATGCGGACCGTTGGGAGGGTACGGGGACAGGTACGGACCGCTGGGAGGGTACGGGGACAGGTACGGACCGCTAGAAGGGCACGGGGTGAGGCATGGACCGCTGGGAGGGCACGGGGTCAGGTGCGGGCCGTTGGGAAGGGCATTTGGTCAGGTTTGGACCGCTGGGGAGGGCATTTGGTCAGGTATGGACCGCTGGGGAGGGCACGGGATCAGGTGCGGACCGATGGGGAAGGCACGTGATCAGGTACGGACCGCTGGGGAGGGCATCTGGCCAGGTATGGACCGCTGAGGAAGGCACGGGATCAGGTGTGTACCGCTGGGAGCGCGCGGCGTCAGGTGGGCACCATGGTGGGCTGACGGTGTCTCGCCCTGTGTTTCAGCCGACGGCGGGGGTTCGGTGGGCTGCGCGTCCGCCGGTGTACCATCCTCCCGTCTGAGGCTCGGCGGGTGACGGCCGCGCGACAGCTCACACGACTGGCGGCGGCCTCGTGCCACTCAGCTGGTGGTTAGGATGGAGATCTTGGTGTCATGCAGCGAACAGTCCGGATCAGTAACTTGGTGTCTGAATCTTGAGAGACGCGTACCGCGAAAAATCCCGCCTTCAGTTGTAGCCGGTGTTGTAGTATTTCAGCCAGGTGTGAGACGGTGGGAAGTCTTGCCAGGATGTCCATCCCGGTGCTCCTACAGCTCCAACTGAGGGTCCTCTTAGTCCGCGCCGCTGCGCCCGGTAGTTTGTGTCGGACCGACGGTGGCGGTAATGCCACATTGCGCATTCGTATGGTCTTCCCAGTAAGGGTTTGGTCAGACTGCTCAATGTCACCTGAGTCACTTACATGTCAATGGCGTCTTTCGCGGTACTGCTCTTCCCGGTGCACGAGTTGTTATTTCTAGCCACGCACGGAACTTCAAGTGGTGGCCGACCTCGCGGTGGGCTTCGCCTTCGGTAAGACGCGCGGGCGGTGTGAAGTGATCCGTGCCCGGGCAGCTACGCCGGAATGGGGAACTGGCCCGATGTTGGCCAGGAGGGGCGTTCGGCGTGTTGCGAGTGGGTATGTTGCGGTACATTATTATCAGAGCTGTCGCCCACTTACGCGCAGTACTTACAAGCTCATCCATATGCGCGTGAAAGCTATGCATTTATATGGCACGTTACGGAATGTTGGGCTCATGTCGCGGCGTTTGCCTGCCTGGTCCGGCGGAGCTCGTCAGCCAGCGCTGCGGGGTCGGGCGACGCTGCCCTGCGGTGTGCAGTTGGTGCACCGGGCGCCGTCTCGTGTCCAAACCGTGGGCTGTGCAAAGTTTTCCAGGCTGCGTGCTCGTCCGTCCGTGTCTTCCATCCGGGCCGGCTGTGTGGGCGGCGGCGGGCCGCCCTGCGTCGCGAGTGCCCTGGCAGGCACTCGCGTGGAGACGGGACGGCTGGAGCGAGTGCACAGGCCGCTGCGGCCTTCGCGGCGTCGTGACCGTTCTTTCCTCGCACGTTGCTTACTCTGGCGCTCACACCACAACAGTAATACGCATGTGATACTGTGAGGCCAACGGTCTGAATGACCATATACCTGTTGCGGTCGCGTGCAAGGCGTCCCTGTCCCATCAAATGGCCCGTACTCGTGGCCTGGCTATGCTCGTATTTTGCGCTCGGTTACATGCCACACGGCGCCCTGTATTAACCGGCTTGGTAGCGCTATATTCCGTCGCACTGTCGTCTGTTACCCTGGGGGCCTGTTTAAGCGTTGGCGCGGCGCCGGGGCGGTGGACGTTTGGCCGGCACGTGGCCGCGCACCTGGGACGGCGGCGGCGGACGCGGGGACCACCGTCTGTGGCGGTCGCGGCGTCTGTCGCCGCGTACCGGCTATGCTGGCGGGCCGGACGGACGGCTGCTGCCGCCGCCCGCCGCCGGGCCTGGTGTCACTGCTGGCCCGTGGGGCCGGGGCGGCTGGGGCTTCGTATTGCGTTGGCCGGCGTGAGAGGGGGGGGGGGGGGGGGGCTATGGCCGCTTCTCATCGGCGCGCTGTTCGGTGCGGCTGGCCAGTCGGCTCACGTACTTACGTAGATGCTATCGACAGTAGTGCCAAACGAACCACGTACACATGCGCTCGACTTTTTTAGCCAGCTTTAATGTTATTGTTATGGCGTCAGAAGTTTCGCACTGGAATCTGTATTATCTTGCAGTGTTATTTATTTGTTTCGTCACGCCGTATCTCGGTGCACTGGTGATGGGGATAGCTGGAAAGCTTGTCATTTTGACGAAATCGCTGTGCAATCTGCCCAGCTATTGATCTTCGCGAGATAGCTGATTTACCTAGCCGACCGGATTCGAACCGTAAAGATACGCCAGACTTCAGATGTTCCAGCCGTCCAAAAGCTGTACGAAACTGCTATGTAAAACACCCGGTCGTCTTCCTGCGATTGTGTCATAATTTTTGGAAGGAATTTATGTAGTGAACGGTAGCCCTGCCCTGGAGGTGAAGTATTGCCGGACGATTGCATGTCTTCACCCAGACATCAGAGGCGTGGCCATCTCGGTCTGGTGCGGTGGGTAAATCGTATTTAGGCTGCATTGCAAGATTATTTTGTTTAGTTGTGTAGTGTTCAGATACTTTATTGCACGTCAATGCCAAATCCATAGTTCGCTAAATAAAGTTCAAAATGCATTCGTCTCTTCCTCTGTGCGGTGCCTGAGGTGATTTGTGCAGATCGCCATCGGCTGCGGTCGTCCCGAGGCGCGCTGGTCCGTGGCTACGTGCTGGTCTCCTAAGATTGGCCATGCGCCGACCATTGCCGGCCACGTGCAACACGGGTACGGCCGCAACACGTGCTAACTCAGCCAGACAGGCTTCTGTCGCATGGATGGGTGACACGCCGCCACAGCTGGCAGGTAACTCATCAGCTGGGTTATCCGGAGCAGAAAGCCTGCAAACGCCGCAACTTTCCACAATTGGCCCTATGTGACGGCGCAGTCGAAGATTCCGAAAGCCAAATTCCTATTATTGCCACTTTACCACAAAATTCGAAAAGATCGGGAAAATTTGTGATTGCGAAATTTAATATTTGGGTGCCACAACGTATGTGATCAATGCTTCTGCACTTGGGGGGGGGGGGGGGGGGATTGTGGTTGGGCAGCCGCACGAATGCTGAAGTGGAGCACTTCGCGTTTTTTCTTCCCTTACCAAATTGGTTTCGGGCATCAATCTGAAGGCCAGATTAGAAGCGTCCGCCAGGAATTGAACACGAATACTCGTATGCCCACGGTAGCGTGCGCTGTACTCAATTATCGCTGTCGGTGCCGAAAACATTTGACATGTGGACATGCAAGCACGTCCATACGCCAGTGCGCGTCAGGACAGGGCGGTATCGTACCGGGACGGGACAGGAGACGGGCAGAGGTGACTCACGCGCGCCGAGGTGACGGCGGTGACGGCGGCGAGCCACACCTGCTCCCTGCTGAGAGCTGCTCGGCTGCTGCTAACGGCTCCAGCCGCAGCGCCGGCTCCGCAGCGACGCCTACACAGCTTCCCTGCTGCTGCGCGTCTTCGCGTCTCTCCTCCCTTCCCTGCCGCCGCGCGTCTCTGCGTATCTCCTCCCTTCCCTACTGCTGCGTGTCTTCTGCCTGACGGGGAACTGCTGCTGCGCGGACCGGCAGCGCGCGCAGCCAGCGCCCGGCATACCGACAGAAGCCGGTGCCGACACCAGAGTCGTGCGGGGTACGACCGGTGGAAAAATACCGGACCAGGCGCTCAGCAAAAGGTCACATAACGCTCCTGAATCCACAGACACAGAGACAGGCGCCCCCGTCGACACTAAAAATAGTACTACAGACGTCACACCCCACCTGTTGTCCGCATGGCGCGCACGTTTTCGACCCCTTCCAGTACCGTCCCAGGAGATGCCCCGCTGGTCACTCGCAGGGGCGATACCAGGAGGCACGGTCGGGACATGCGTCCCTCAATGAGAGGTCCAGTTGAAGACGTCTCCCAAATAATCAGAAACGCTAGATTAGACACGTTTGGCTCAATTGGCCGTTGACCGTTGCCTCTTCTGGTCAGCCCAGCTGAGCGCGCCACTGGACAAACGGTAGGGCCGGGCGAGGGTCCGGCGCGAGATATGCGCTCGGGTTGACATTTCCCTCACCGCCGCGGGCGCTGACTTTAATCTCTCTCGGTGAGGGGAGCGAGCTGTCCTCCTGCCAGTCGGTCTTCAGGTGCGGCCGGGGCGGCTGGACGGGTCCGTGCGGTCCGACGCTACGCACGAGGTACAGCCCGGCCGCCGTCAGCCTCTGCGCCACCTCTGAGCGGCTCAGTCCGGAGACATGTCCACCTCTACCATGTACGAGTTCCTTGTGAAGAAGGACCAGCAGCTGACACTCAACTTCGTCAACCACTGCCGCATCGCCTGCGTCTCCGTCTGCCTGCTGCTGTTCGTCTGCACCTGCGCCTTCTACCTGGGTCCGCTCTGTAACTCGCACTGGGCGCCGCTGCGCTCCACCCCCGTCCAGTGGAGGTCCCCCGCGCTGTCCGCCGGCAGCGCCACGTGGGCCCGCTCGGCCGAGCTCGCCGCACGGCCGCCAGGCCACCTCCGGTCGGCGGAGGACGCCGCGCGCCGGGTGTCCGTGGAGCCGGCGGCAGACATCAGCTCCTCGCCGGTATCATCGAAGCTGGACGCGACAGACGACTGCACCTCGCCGGCCATCTTCTGGTCGGCGATCGCCGGGTACACGCTGGGCGTGCTGGCCGCGCTCGGCCTGCTGGTGCGCGCCGTCTGCGGCATGCGCCGCCAGCACCGGCGCGCCAGCGTCGTGCTGCGCCTGATGCGCGCCGCGCGCGCCGGCTGCAGCGCCATCCCAGAGCCCGAGCTGCACCAGCTGATCGAGTCGGCCGACCTAGCGCAGGCACGCCGCGCCATCGGCCGCAGCGGGCCCGTCAGCTACGGCACCGCCCAGCGGTTAGGCCAGGTGTGACGTCATCACAGCAGGAGTGGTGTCATCACAGCCGGCCACACTGCTGCGGCCCGACCCAGCAGCCGGGTCAAATATGACGTTACTGCAGCCGGCCGTTCGGCCTGGATAAGCGCCACGTCACTGCAGCCGGCCCGCGCGGTCAGTGTGACGTGCGTGACGTCTTCACGTGAGCACTAGTGACCCGTACCACCGTCGGACGTCGCCGAATAGCCTGGCCGTGGTGCATGCGGAGCGCCGGGACGCTGCCGGCCTGCTCCGCCGGGCAGCGTGCTGTTCCGGGCGCGGGAGATGTCTATAGCAGAGGAAGCCGCGGCGGCAGACTGCGGGGCGGCGTGCGGCGGGCCCGGGCCACGCGGGGCTCGCCCATCCGCGGCGTCCCCAGGGCCGAGACTGTGGAGGGGGCGGCGAGACGTCACCTTGCGTGTGGCTGGCGCCGGTGGCTGGAGTGTTGCCGCCGGCTGGGGACAAGGCACTTGTGACCGCCTGCGAGTGTTGCGCTGCATTGCGTTGTGTTACGTCGCATTGCGTTGAGTTGTGTTGGGATGTGATGCGTATTTGCACCCGAGCGCGGCTGGTGCGGTGACGGCTGGGTTTTAACTTGAGCTGGCCTTAAGGGAAGGTTAAGCTGACTTGTGCTACGGTGTGCTCCTGTGACAGTGATACCGCTACGACTTCGGGAGCTTTACAACCTGTCACCACCAACACGCATGGTTCATTCTTTCAGCTAGATTGTTTTAGTACTCAGCATGCTTTTTTGCATCTCATTTGAAGACAATTTTTAAAACTTTTGGCAGTCTGGGCTGGGCTGGGTGTTGTGTTATGTACTCTCCGTTAATGCCGTATGAGCGACTTTCTGCTGTTGTGCTGGTCTTTTTGCTAACTTCTAACCAGTTCACGACCGCAGCGTTCCGCGGCATCAGCAGCGCCGAATTCCATTGGCTGTGCCCTAGCGAACCAGTGCTCACCAAGTCGCTGCTTTCCGGGTAGGGCCGTCTGTGTGTTGGCCTTTACCGCCATGCTGTTCATGTGAAAGGAATTGTAAATACAAACTGGGGCGTTCTTGCTGCTGTTTCCTTACACGGACGCCATCATGTCGAAGTTCACATGTTCAGGTTCACAGGCTCGACAAAGTGGAGTCTCACTCAGGTGTGAACTCACTGAACCGCGTGCAGGGACAGCAGCGCGCGACATCTGACTCCATCGGTGGCCAGGGCTGGGTCGGATCGCACGCCACGTCGGCGGCATTGCACCGATTTCGCACTCACTGAGCAGGCGTGGGCAAGGTTCCATCATAACGGAGTGTAATTGAGTGGTGCTAGTACGGCGAAAAAAGAGACCATGTCTACCGTGAACGAAAGGAAGTGGGGAAAGGAGCATTGACCAGCGTCGACCCGCTCAGGCGTCTTAAAAGGAAAATTACACTGAACAAGCGGAACTACATTGTTGTCAGCACCATGAGCTTTTATGCCCATTTATGCAGTAACTTTGCATGCACGGTGTCGAGGTCAAGGTCAGATGAATGGTCACCGGCCAAACTCGAACATGAGTCACGAAAATCACTTTCATCGATCGCTGTATGCCTTCCGTTGTCTTCTTGTCTTCATTGTAAGGGCACCACTCCCAGAAGCTGCATGTAGTAATGTAATTGATACCACAATGATATAAATATGCACTACTCATGCGGCTCGTCTACTGTATGGAAAACTTTTCACTAGTTTGGGTATGTAGGTCTAACCTTGAGTTTTTGACCGGACGGAGGCCGGCGTGACTATCTCAGGAAGCAATGTTGCGGTACTCTAAAGCTTTGCAGTCTTCATACTGTCTGCTGGAGAGGGGACGTGTCTCCTCAGCTCGTTTGATTCCCATGGATACCTGGATACAGTCAAGACTTTGACCGTTAAGAAACGTATTGCTACAAACAAAGTTCTGGGCGAGGAGAATCGCGATGAGTGGCACACACTTCTGCCAGGACAGGTTATTCTGGCTCACAAATCACGTTACTGTACCCATACATGTAAAACTTGGAGTACTGAAGCAAGAGAGTCTTCGCGGACTTATATCAGCGCTTCAAAACGTTGCTGAGGTCCCACCATAGCGTCTTTTATTTCTGTGCTTTATGGGAAAGCGTGTAAGCCGAAAGGCACTAACAATCCACGCTGCTGGACTGAATTGAGTCTTTTCGAGGCACACACAAGCGTAATAAGAACGGTGTCTGGGTGGGCAGGCGGCGAGTCGATCATCAGCCCGAACACCACCAGCGTCTCAGGCTTTAGAGCAAAGTCCGTCGCCAGTCAGTCTTGCTGAGCATTGAAGCACATCAACTCGACCGGCTTATCACTCTTGTGGACTTGTGACAGCCATGCCACGTTCTGCTGCTGACTGAAGCTGAAGCCAGTGGAGTCAATCAGTGACTTTTGGTGATGTGAAAAGCAGCAGGACCGACAAGATCCTCCCGAAGCAAAAAAGCCAACTAGTATTGCCAACTTCGGTTGGCGTATCGAGCTTGAAGGTTCCGTCATCACACCGGCGGTCTTAGCGGTGCCAGATGCTGTTGAGGGGAACTGGCACCTCTGAGATCCAGTTGCTGTTGAGGGGAACTGGCACCTCGGAGATCCAGTTGCTGTTGAGGGGAACTGGCACCTCTGAGATCCAGTTGCTCCCTGAGAACAATTAGGCGCCCCTGTATACAGTGAGGGGCAGCTGTACTTCAGAAAGCAATGCATGCAGCATTGCACTATGCAGCTGCGACATCGCAGGCCTTTCGCGTACAAACTACTGCAAGTGCAAGGTAAAAGTGGCACGCTATAGCTGCTGCACCAGCAAGCAGATGGATATCGAAGAAAATATGACGGGATGCTAAGTGTACGTCATGATGATGGCGATGAAACGTACTACAGTAATGTGACGTGTGCGGCTGGTACTACTGTGTTTAATGTTTATATAAACATCGTTCCGCTGTACGTAAGACGTCTGTAGTTCCATATGCATGACTTATGAACAGTGAACAATGAAAATGCATAGGGAAAGCCTCAAGAGGAGTTTGTAGGGAAGTTTGATCTGCGACCTATCATTTGCCTTTGAATTTGACCCCGATCCAAAAATAACTCCAGAAAACGGCTCTGTTCCTATGATATCCAAAGAGTGGAGATGCAACTGACTATGTATGCCATCCAGATAAAAAGAAGTCGATGGCTAGCATTCCAGATGGCAGCGGTCACCATTTTGGATCAGAGAAATGCTCAACGTTGCACGAATAGCAACCGAGCTAACTTGGCTGTCCTTAATATAAAGAGCACACTTCCGGGAAGACCTTTGCAGAAGTTTCCATTGCAGTGCCACCATTTTCTCAACTTGATTATTATCGAAGCAAAATTACATTTATTTGTTATGTGTTTTATGAATTCATTGAGTCGTAAGGGAGAGTGGGATTAGTTGTGTCATGTCCAAGCAGAGGCAGGTTAGTTCATACGGAATCTATGGGATGGATGGCCGTCTTTGGCCACCTAGCTCGCGCATAGCAGCTCCATCTACCTTTCAGTGTACTTCCGGCCACAAACGTGCACGCGCCATGGGATGAGCGAGACAAATGTGTTTTTTGTACATCGTTGAAAACTATAGCAGTCGGTGCAAATGTGCGTTTGAGGGCTTACGGCATAACTAAACCGATCTGAATACTATGCTGCTGTCAACTATTGATTGGCATGAATGCGGTGACTGATTATCATTCAGAAAACAATTGACGCTGATATTACTTATGCGGGCCCATGATTTCTACCTGCGCAACTGAAACCGAGGTGCAAGTGGTCGCAAAGCAAACACTAATTGATAAAAGGCCAGCAATTTGTCCTATCACAATCACAACAAATTACGCAGTAACGCAGACGAGCGCATTTGATTTGCTTGTTGTAAGTCATCCAGGCCTGCTTGCGATGCGACGTACTGTCTGACTAAAGAGCATACGCACAACTGTCCCCACCTCGTGATGCAATTTAACCCAGGGTGGGGAAGTTGTCTGATTTGCAATGAGCTCGTTCAGAAGTCATTTGCCTAAAAACAAAGCCGTGCTCTTAAAAACCTGACCGCTTCATATGAAGCTGAAGGTTAAAGCTGTCTGCCGATATAATGACATTTGTCCTATCCTCATCAATTATAGCAGAAGGAAGCTTAGAGTAAAAACTGATGCAAGCTCTTCTCTGCTCTCCCTTACAACTTCATGTGTATTGCGCACAATAAACCATGTTCCGGCTCAAGGAATAATTGAAATTCAGTAGCGAAAGATTTAAACATTACTGTTTGCTCTAGTTGGACAACTTCAGCCATACCCATAAGGTATTGCCCTTGTTAATGAAAAAGCGCACTGATCAACCCTTCCATATCCTGCGCAGGTTCAAGAAGGCCATTGGAGATTTCGTCTAACAATTTTAGAGTCCTATCTCACATCATACGTTATATCAGATCTGTGCTTTCTACAATCTTGTGTGACGCTCGTTAGGAGCATTTTCAACGTTAGACGTTTATCAGATCCCTCCCCACATAATTGATAGCACGGTCAGTGTCATGTGGTTCAGCACATGATGTTATCGTTGACAGCCGACGTGTTGAAGGTCGGAGGACTCGCAGCAAAAGATGGGTTGATTAAATGTTAATGTTTTGTATTTGCGATGACAAGCAATGTGCAGCACATTTTTACATGGGCTACTACCGCACTTCTTGATCCTACTAAAAGTATGCTCCGATTAGTTGCCGGCTATCCTGACTGGGACATATCCAGTCTTCACCCAAGCGCGTCGCCGTCTCGCTCCGATGAACCTACAATGACTAAACTTAGGCGTTTCGACTAAGTCTAATTACAGTCGGTGACGGCAGCGTGCACAGTCACGCCCCGGGTGTCATTAAAGGCGCCACGCACGCGTGCCTAACGCGGGCCACAGTGCTCTGTACAAAGGGTGGCACGGGCCGTGCGTGACACTCACGGCCCGCTTTACAGCCGGAACCGCGGCCGGCGTAAAAAATCTTTGGTTTGTTAGCGATATCTCAGGGTGCGTCAGTGCGTCCTTCACGCCAGTGGGCTTTTCAAGGTGAGACTGCCTTTGCAGTGCGGCAAACCAGACTTCTCCCGACTCAGTCGCCGAATACCAGGATACGACGCAGGAACGACAGTCACAGCTCGCACTCTCCGACAACACGTCACATCACACGCCAGCCTACAGTCATTCCTCGACCACACGCGCCGTGTCCACCTGTTCCCTCCTCGCGACGCCTTCACAGGCGGGCGGCCGCCCGCGGCAACCACGGCGCGGGCAAAAACGACGCGCCGCGCCGCGCCGCGCGGCGCTCGACGCGCGGCAGTCGGTCGCGCTGGTCGCCTCCGCTTCCTGCGGCGCCAGCTCGAGCCGTCAGCCCAGCGGGCCGGGGCGGGCGGTTCACCGGGCGGCGAGGGCGGCCAGCAGCGCGGCGGCCAGTGTCAGCGCGCCGGCCGCCGCCGCGCCGCCGCCCGACTCCTGCCGCTGCGCCTGCGCCAGGTCGTCCAGCGAGTTGCTGGCTAGCCACACGGACGTGGTGGTTTCGGGACGGAACCAGCCCTGGTACGCCGTGGTGGAGGCGCGCACCGCCGGCCGCCCCGTGGTTGCCGCCGCTGCCGCCGCCGCCGCCGCCGCCGCTGCCGTCCGGTCGCGCTCGCGTTCGCGCTCGTATTCGCGCTGGCGCTCGCGCTCGCGCTGGCGTTCGCGCCCTGTGTCGCGGTCGGCGCCGCGGTGCTCGGGCCGCAGTGGCTCCGGCTGGCGCCTGTCGTCGGGCCGGTCGTCGAGCCGGGTCTGGCGCGGCCCGGCGCAGTGGCGCGAGCTGAACCTGCGGCGGTCCAGGGTGACGGTCACGGCGCGTGCGGCCATTGTGGCGGCTGAGCGCTTGGGCGGCGCCGCCGCGGTCGCGGCCGCCGTCGCACAAAAGAAGCCGCCCCGCCCGCTCTGCGCTGCATTCAGACGCGCCACTCGAGGAAGAGCCGGACTGGAGCTCAATTAACACCGACGTCCGGCCGGCAGTCTCCACCGGCACACAATGAGCCACAGAAGAGCTGTTGTTGCGGAGCTATAGCACACGAAAGAACACATGGCGCTTTCAAAAACCTTCAATACTACAAATGTTGTTACCTTTTATCTTTCTGATTCCAGCAAATTTGTGTTCTCAAAATTATTGACGCGAGGCGTCATCAACTCAATTAGAACTCAGTTAGATTAGGTCACTACATTACAGTCATCAACTGAACCAGATAGGACAATTATCCAATGACCCAGATGAGCACAAGCCATGTAGTCCGTGCTGCAACGGTTAACGCGACGCAATCGCGCGCGTCTCCACCCACTGCGAACTCACACGTAGTCGCGGCACTTCTGGACGAACACGTGCAGGCCGTTGTCGAGGAAGGTCTCGACGAACTCGCCGACGGCGCCGCCGTTCGGGCTGCCTTCACAGGGCCGCTGCGAGGCCATGCAGTCGCGGAACTTGCGGTGGAGGCTGCCGGACAGTGCCCGCTGAGTCACGACGAATCCCCTCGGGCCGTTCTAATCCACTGCCGTCCGGCAGGTGCAAAGTGATGCCTACTTTTGTGTTGGCTTAAGTGGCGCTATCTGCTAGCCATCACACGAAATCTTAAGAGTATGAAAAATGAGGGCTTCTGACGACACCTGGGATCGGCATTTTCGGCATGTTCGAAAGAAATGCGAGGTCCTACAACAACGCTCTTGAGCCATGTTGGTGTTTCGCCCCCACAATAGGTACGAAGCACCTTGCAAGCGCACAAGTCAGAGGGTCACACCAAACGCACTGTGGCTGTCACTCATGCGGAGCGTCTCAGCCCAGCGGGACCCTCCGAGCGGGTCGGCCAGGATCGCGTCACGTGCGGGCGCATCGGGGTCAGTCCCGGGTCATTCGGCCGCAGGCGACGGCCCGCCATCAGTCGCGCCTGGCACGCCGGCCCTCTGGTGGAGCGCGTCGAACGCGCCCGAGTCGCCCGCGGAACGGGGCCGGGGAATTGGCCAGCCGAAGCCGCACGATGCGCCGGGCGCCCCGCCGCGGCCTTGTTAGCCGTGTTTGTGCTCGCTCTGATGGAGTCGCTGCGGCATGTCGTCTACGGGGGTAGCAGCAAACAAACTAGAGCGGCCAACTGTGCCAAGGTCGCCGCTGCAAAACTCTGTAGTTAATCCGTGTCTGGGGTCCTCGGCGGCGGGCGTGGACCGTGCTGCCGGCCGTCGCCCGAGGTTGCAGCAGCTGGCCCTGGGGTGCCGGCGTCGCTCCGCTGAACTAACGGTCAGCCACGGGCCCGACCTGCGATATGAGCGGCCGCAGTGTCACGGTGTGTGGGGTCGCCCCGTCAGGACCGGCGCCGCTGCCGGACGCACCAGAACGGGGCCCGTTAGCTGGCCGGGTGGAGGGGGAGGCGGCTAGTCGCGTGCGGACGCGCCAGCGCGGTCTGAGAGGCCACGGCGTGGTCAGTTGCCATGAGGGCGGGCTTGGAATCGTGCTTGGAATGGTGGTGATGTGGGCTAAGCGCCTTCGACGAGTCTGGATTTCATTGCCAGTGGCTTACGCTTTCATGTATGCATGACATATTTTGAACAGATGGTGATTATGTGCATAACGCTGCGTAACGGAACGCTGTTGCTGATCTACATAGCCCTCGAACCATCCCGGCTTCTTGCCAGATCCTTTCTCTCACATGCATCTTTCATCGATATCTTTATATTTTCAAGTCCCTAATGTGTCTGGTCTCAGAGGCAGCAGCCTCTGGATTCAGGGGTGAAAGACCGACGGCAGGATTATCCTCTCGTGGGCCCTCTAATCGGCCGGTTCTGCCACTGCGCCGCACCGCTGCAGAAACAGGAGCGGGGCGGCGGGCGGACGCAACACTGCGGGAATAGGAGCGGGCGGCGGGCGGCGCAACACTGCGGGAACAGGAGCGGGGCGGCGGGCGGCGCAACACTGCGGGAACAGGAGCGGGGCGGCAGGGCGGCGTACCACTGCAGGAACAGGAGCGGGGCGGCGGGCGGCACACAACTGCGAGAACAGGAGCGGGGCGGCGGGCGGCGTACCACTACAGGAACAGGAGCGGGGCGGCGGGCGGCGCACCACTGCAGGAACAGGAGCGGGGCGGCGGACGGCGCACTACTGCAGGAACAGGAGCGGGCGGCGGGCGGCACACCTACTGCGGGAACAGGGGTGGGGCCGGGAGCGGCGCGAGGGGGGGTCGCTCACCAGCAGATCTCCTGGTCGCTGCTGAGGCCTTCCGTGACGGCACGTGCCATGTTGGTATAGAACTGGCCACACCGGTCCTGTTCCATCGTCATCTGCTTGATGCAGGGTGCGTGCGTCAGATACTCTGTCGAAGGCGATACAGCAGGAGATTATGGGCCGGTAGTGAAAGGAAAACATGGTCGCGTGCGCCTCAAATATATCGGCTCTTTGGCAGATGGCCAAACTGGTATAATGACGAAAGTGATGGTGTAAATATTGAATATCTTCGATTGAAGACTGAAGTGTTTGGCTTGCGCCGGATTTCAATTCGCATATCATGTTAGCTGAGGGCATAACCACCGACAGCTTTTTCTGCGGTGATGCGAATCAGTGCAACAGGTCATACGTGACCAACAGCAGTGTTTTATGGCATGGTATCATGTCCGAAATGCTGCGGGGATTGTCACCACTGTTTCGTATCTCCACGGCTCGCCTGAGCGAGCCATGCGACCGTGGCGCAGGGTGCCGCCTTAAACCGGCCGGATCACCCCGTCACGTGACAAGCGGAGGCCATGACCGTCACATGACTGAGCGGAGGCTATCACCGTCACGTGACTGAGTGGCGACCCGACACCCCTCTGTGGTGTATAAAGAGCAGCCTATCTACATAGTTATCAGGGCAGCGAGCATTGTTCTCGGTAACCGAGCGTGGTGGGGCGGCGGTTTCACAACGGGGCGCGACCTTCAGCCGACCTGGCCTCGGGGCGCCAACGGCACCCATTGCATCAATCGTGGCGCTGTCTGCAGAGCGTAGCCCTGGGGTCGGGCTGGCGGGGGAGGGGCGGCGTCGCCCCCTCCTTTCTGGCGGCGCTCGCCCGTCGACTGGGGTGTCATTTACCCCACATTCACTCTATACGGCGATTCGGCGCGCTCAAGAAGGAAACAGCCGAGGTACTAGAGGTTCGCGCGGAAACTGTTCTGCAGAACTCTACGTGGTATGCGTTACAGCTTAGTAGCCCGAAAATGTCTTAAAGACATACATTTCAGTGGGCGAATGTTGAATGAGGCAAGGTAATTACAGCCAAATAGCGCAAATCTATACTGAACTAATAACTATGATTTGTTCATTAAGATCCCATCGCATCCCATTGCACCCCGTTTTCTAGAAGCAAGCCTAGATCGTCCTGATGCGCACCACCAGTACACTTGTCAGTGGCATACCCTCGCCGAATGACCTATTATGGCCAAACGAGCCTCAATTGGCCGCTGCCCAGGTGGGATGACTGCGCAGTTTACTCCTGCAGAAACCGACGGACATTCTACAGGGTATCACGGGATGTTAACCAAGGTTTCAGTTTCTGCCTGCTTCTGACTGCACTCGCAGTTTGATACATGAGGCCATGTAAAGCTACACATGTCAGCACGAACAAAAGTCGCGAAAAAGTGATCACGGACCGTGGTGTTTTTTTTTAAATTTTATCTCGAGCCCGGTAATTGTGGCTGTCAACAAATATGCACAGACGCTGAACGAGATGTGGTCAAACGACGGAAACGTGCACTGGCATTATGCAACGAGCCGTTGCACAGCTATATCTGTGATTCAATCACTGTTATGTGTCACCTTTTACACACGGTGTTTTGGATTTGGAAATTGAATAAGCGGGCTTATGGTAGATAAATGAGGTGTGACATTTTGGTCATGGCTGAGATTGCTATTGCTACTTGTGGCCAGAAAACAAATCTTGCTTCAGTGCATGAGCTAAAGCTGCATAGCATAATGGGAAAGTGGAACACAAATCATTTGCTAACATCAAACGCACAATTTCCCAGTACTGCCTACAATAAAAGGTATTTATATCATACAATGGCCGCAACTTATCATGGGTCTTTGTTACTAAATCTGCACCTGAAAGTTGTTCTGCACTTGCAATTGACGTCACATTGTGGCAAACGCCAGCATACATGGCAATTTGCACGACTTCAAACATAATCTGCGCAGCAGGCGCCCACACCAGTTCGCAGTGGCGCATGCTGCACAATGACGCGGGGCCGACTCTGCAAGCATACCGGAAATCCCACATTCAATGGCCGATGCGCAGTGATCAAACTCGCGGCGCATCCTACTCCGCCTCGTCCGTCACGCACAGTGACCACCCGCCTGCGTGGGTGCGCGACCGACCTTCGCTGTAGGCGGGGTCCTTGCACATTCTGTACACGTTTCTGACGGCCGTCTCGACCGCTCCGTTGAAGGCGTTCTTCTGCTCGTTGGAGTAGCGTGCCGCCACGAACTTGTTGATGCAGTCCACGAACACGTGCCACTTGCTGGAAACACGTACACGTGCCGATGAGTGCTCAACCAGGAAAACACCTTCCTTGCACGCGCCCAGGTCGATTTGCACGTGTCGAAACGATTGAAGAGAGGATCCAAGTAAACAGCTTTGCAACGACCAGTCTCCCGAAAAACTAAGTTACGTAAATTTTGATGTGACGCAATACAACACAGTGCATTGGAATGTTCGAGGGGAAACGGAACAAAAACACAGCCGGAGGAGCAGACGCATGGAGGGCTCCGCGTCGTCACGCGGTGAGTGGGACTCACTCGCAGACCATCTGCAGCTCAGGCACGGGTGGAGGGCACCACCAGGTGGTTCTCGCTGAGCAGCGGCATCGCTAGCTGGATGCACTTGTTCATCACCTCCTCGCCGCGGGCCACGCCCAGCAGGCCTGCAACAGCCAATCAGTGCGGCCGGTCAGCTGGAGTACGCCGGCACAGTCTACCGCCGCAGAGCCGAAGCCCAGGCGGCGGCGTGACGCGCTCGGCCGTTCGGCGCGGCGGTCCACGGGTGACTTGGCACTATTTGCGGCGGCCTGGAGTGGCTCGCCAGTTAGTTGTTAGCTGTTGCAGCTATTGCAGCTGTAAGTGGTCAGTTAAATAGCTGCCATTAGCTCCTCTCAACACATGAAGGCGTGACTTGAAACATGACTATGCTGGTGTCAAACACATAAGAATGTCTTTGTGTACAGGGATGTGATGCGTTCGTGGCCAATTGAAAACCGGACTTATGCAGCCTGGCATGGATAATCCACGAATAGTTACGTAAATCACGTTTCTTTCTGTTTACGTCCCGCGGTGGAAGGCTTGTAGCAATGCATTGATGAGACGTCTTGCTGACTATAGCCACCGTGTCAGAAAGTGTTGCTTCACTGCCTGAGTTATGTCAGTGTCCCCACGCCAGTGAACACAACGGCAGCACGCTAATGGGCGACATCAATTCGAATCACGACACACAGTACAGCGATGTGTATCGTGGACTCACAGACGCGCCTCAGTGGTATCAACGCAATCATAACGCGTTGCTTAAAATAATGGTTGCGTATTTGTTGTTACGCAAGCGAACAACAAACACGCGTAGCAAAAATGACGATGATTAGCGTGGCGACCGTTCATGCTGACAGCTGCAGTGGGCGAGCGTGATGTGTTGAGCGCCTGCTGCGCTGAGCCGCCGGTTTTTGGGCGGAAGTTCGGTGCACTGCCGTCTACATCCCGGGCGGAAGGTTGATGCACTGCCGTCTGCACCTCGGACGGAAGTTGGATACACTGCCGTCTGCGCCTCGGACGGAAGTTGGATGCACTGCCGTCTGCGCCTCGGAGGGAACTTGGATGCACCGCCGTCTGCACCTCGGGCGGAAGTTGGATGCACTGCCGTCTGCACCTCGGGCGGAAGTTGGATGCACTGCCGTCTGCACCTCGGGCGGAAGTTGGATGCACTGCCATCTGCGCCGCATACCGCGTTACCTACGGTGACGTCACTGTCCTTGACGGCTCCAAACGTCCAGAGGCATGGATAGACCGCAGCAGCTTCTCGGTGGTGACGTTGGGCACAAAATGGTCACGGCGATCAAAGCGTCGATAAATCCCAACGATGCTCAGCATTTGAGCTGCGACGTTTATGGGTGGAGGTGAGGCCACGCGTCAAGTTTGCTATAGGATTGCTCGGGAGACCTACACTCCCGGCAGTCCTACTGCGTGAAATACCCGCTTATAATCGGAATAGCTACAATCGGCAGATCTATCCTTGGAAGCCCCAGCATACCTACTCACGGAATACCTACGCCCGGAAGACCTACACTTCGGAGGACCTTCGCGCGGAAGGACTACGCCCGGCGGACCGACTCCCAGAATGCCTGCGCTCGGAGACCTACACTTGGAATAACGATTTTCGTAAGACCTTTGCTCGGAATACCAATGTTCAGAAGACCTATGCTCGCAAGAGCTACTCCTGTAAACAGCCACGTTCAGGAGACCTCCGCTGGGAAGCAAACTATTCCGGGAATTGGTAGAATTCGAGATTCGGTCGTAATCTGCTGGAATCCACATGGATTCAAGAGTGTTCGAGCGATAAGGGCCGGCTACAAAGAACGGGGGATCAGAGCGACGTAGGGGTGGCTGGGGTGGGCCTGTTTCGGCGCCCGTTCTGACCCTCAGCTAGGCGGCGGCAGGGGGCTGCCCACCAAGCAAGCACCATTGAAAAGAGGGAAGGGCAAGGGCAAGGGGAGCGGAAGCGGGCGGCGGCGGAGCGAATGCTGTCTGTGTGACGAGGGCTATTTATCGTTCATGGAATTATCGTGGGAGAAACCAGAGTCATCACTCGCTCAGAGAAAATAGCAGTGGGTCGTCCGCGCGCAGGGATTCCGGGAGTAGGCCTCCCGAGCGTATGTCTTCCGAGCATAGCTTTTCCGACAGTACAGCCTTCGGACCGTAGATGCTCCGGCACTAGGTCCTCCGTGTAGGAGGTTTTCCGCGCGTAGGCCTTCTGGGCGTAGCCATTTAGGGAGAAAGTGTTCCGAGTGTGGGTATAATGCTGAGCAGGTCCTTCGGGAGAAGTTCTTCTGACCCACATCCGTTCGTAAAAGGCCAGCATTTCAGCCATCCTTTATGCATGCCGGTGCTGCATGCTATTATGTCCGTATCTAAGTTTTTACTGCCTAGCACTCTCGTTCAATGAAAGCAAACGTTTCACATTTGAAGATTTTGAAGCTCGCATAAGATATTATGAAACAAGCCCACTTATAGCTATTGACATACTTTTTGAGAATAGAACACTGCTCTTGACGGCACAATTCTCTGTTAAGTAAATATGCTCCTCATCAATGCAGCATGGTCAGCAAATGCAATAGTCAGCAATCATGCATCATGGTTTGATTACGTCATCGTACCTTGCACAACATTGAATAAGAGCCAATTGAAGGCTGTTGTACCTGGAAATCGTGTTCAGGAACGCCAGATATGATCGCCTCAACAACTATATTTTTGTTGGCCTTGGTCACCGCACGGCTTATTGAATGACAGGATTTGAGTGATGTTATTAGGACGTCATGAGCGCCAAGGTAACTTTGAAATACTCTCCCCGAGACACCTTCCCCATTTTCGCGGTCGAGTTGCTTAGAAACTAGAGTGACTTAGGTCTTAAGAAGGGCAGGATTGTGAACAGCACCAAAAGGTCTTCAAGATGACTATTTGAGTTCAAGCCCTCATCTAAATTTGGAGCACTCCCTTCAATGTGAAGCCGTTTTCCTTGCGCTGGAATGCAACGGGTGACGTCTTAGCAAGACTTCTGTTAGCAGACAATTATATCCATAAGGTATCCTGAAAGATCATCACGATTTTGTCCATACTATAATTAACAACAAAGACGGTCGTGCAAAGCTACCAACGAAAACAACAGGGGCCGTAATGAGACGCCGGAAACGGACAAGGCCGCGGGCACCGGCGAGGCAGGAAGCACAGCGCCCCTCGTGCTCTTTTGAAACACCTGACAGAAGGGGCGCACGGCGACACCCAGACAGCAGCGCTTCAGACCCGGCCGGCGCCGGGAGCGCCGCCCGAGGCAGCGGCCCGGGCCCGGTGCGGCCGGCCGGCCGCGTGACGTGCCACATCCCGCGTCCACCGTCCGCCGACAAACGGACGTACCGTTCGGACCCGCCCGTAAAAAATCCGCACCCGGTCCAGCGGCGCCACAACCGGGTCAGCAATGACGGCACGTCGGTCGACGGCCGGCGGCGGCGTGACCGGCGCCCGGCGCACGTACTCCCGCCGGGAGGGGGCGGGGAGGGGGCCGCTTCCGGTGGGCCACGCCCGTGCGCCCGGCCCGGGAGAGGCGGGCCGTTCAGCGGCCAATACCGCGCCGCTTTGTGTGCGTGCCGGCGCCGGACGTTCCGGGCCCGGCCGTGAATACGGGGCGGCGGGATGGAAGACCCCAGACCGGGGTAAACGCCCCCGGCCAGGCTCGGAGGCGGGGCCAGCCGATTTGCAAAGCAAAGCGTCCGTGGCGCATTGAAAGGCGACGTGATGATGAAGGCGCGAGGGAAATTCGGCTCCACGGTACTTCAATGCGTCCTGCTTGTTTATGTCATCCTGTTTCGGCACTCTACTAACTGTTTTTTACTGGCATGATTGGCGATCTGTCAGTGCTGAGTAACACCTCATTTAGCTTGTAAAGCTTCATTGCCGGGCTGTCGGGCGCAAATCCATGTGAGCAATCGATCCACTGTGAGCCGGTACGAACGCCGGAGCGGCAGGAGACCATCGGCCGGCGCTCGGCGCCTGTCTCCGCCGCTTCATGTAACACACAACCGGCGCGTCGTCGCCGGGCCGCCTCGCCTACTTCCTCCTCCACCGCGGCGGCGCGCGGAAGCGGCGGCCGACGCGGGGTCGCCGCGGGTCCGACAGGGAGCGTCACAGGGCGGAGAGAGAAGAGAGAGAGAGAGAGAGAGAGGATGAGAGATGGAAGAAGGAGGAGGAGAGAGAGAGAGAGAGAGAGGAGAGAGAGAATAGAGAGAAGAGAGAGAGAGAGAGAAAGAGGAGATAGAGAGATAGAGAGAGAGAGAGAGAGAGAGAGAGAGAGAGAGAGTAGAGAGAGAGATAGAGAGAGAGAGAGTCGATAGAGATAGAGATAGAAGAGAGAGAGAGAGAGAGAGATAGAGAGAGAGAGAGAGAGAGATATATCTGAGATATATAGAGCTCTCTTCTCCTCTCGCTCTCTCTATCTCTTCTTAGAAGATCCGATTAGATGAGAGAGAGATGAGATGAGAGAGAGAGGAGAGAGAGAGAGAGAGAGCTGCGGCTGCACGGCCTGATGCGGCCCGGAGCCGATGATGCCGCCGACCCGCGCGGGTCGACACCCCCATTAGTCGCGCTGGCAGACGGGAGACGCTCCACCTCACCGGGGGAACAGACTGCGGAACACTCGCCGCCGGGAAAGCTCCCAATGTTCGGGTAACGGTCGCAAGCTCGCCTGTCTAGTAATGAGAGCTGCGGCGCTCTACCGCGGTTGAGGTAAGCCCTCTAGGAGTGGTTGCGAAAATTGTCATACAAAGTCGATGATCTTACGCCTACCATTTAGTGAGGTTGGACGTATAAAGGCGACGTCACTCACCAGTGCGCCCATGGCCAAAGTTACGCGCGCAGTTATTAGGGAGGGCCCGATTCGAAACACACAGGAAGTCGGACTACGTGAATGAGGCATAATTTCGCAAGCGGATAGCGAGGCTCAACGCTCTGGTGAAATGTGCTTTACAAGGTCACTCGGGGCCATGCTCCACAAATTTGATTTGCGTGCGATCGCTTCGAGCTTGAAATGTTGTGACTAAGACGCTGCCCTTTACGATTAAAATAATTCGACCTCGTGATGGAGTTATATGTTGCGCCAGTAGAGGAATTCAGCTCGTTGCAAGTTCAGTTATTTTTTGGGCGATACAGTTAGGTAGCTATGCTGTAAGCCATTTCGCTGCAGAACACACGCATGACGCGAAACACGAATGATTAAGTTTACATTTGAGCCTTGATCATGTATATTGAGACAACTGCAAAGGAAACATTACGTCTCCTGATCCAAGTAAACAAATAGTAGGCTCGCACGCTAATATACCACGAATTTTCATAAATGTAATTATGCGATTGTTTTTTGCAGATATTACCACTTGACTAAAGGGTACCGCTTAACATTATTTTGGGATGACCCAGACCCCTCCCGCAACGTTGATTTTGTACCATTGTTGGTTTGAACCCCCAATGTTTTTGCTTGGGTTGATCGCAACGATTTAGGAAAACGCTTAATACCGCACACTTAAGGCTTACCTCCTTTGGGAATTATTTGCTAGACATCAATGCTGCTTTCTATACTGCTGACTTAAGATATTTATTTGTAACTGGTAAAATATGATAGTGTATGTCATGATAGTGAAGGGTAAATAAAGAAAACGTAGTGTCGTTGGCCAAAATAAAGTAAACACAATCCGTTACTTCATACTTGACACAAAAATCCGTGCTCTCGTCGGGTGAAGCGATTAGGTGTCAGAACCTTGCCCCCTCCCCCATAACTTGCATAACCATACCCCCCTGACGCAGTCCCACAAGACAACAGCTTTAAGGGAGGTTTTGACGAGTGCAGCAGCTTATGGCTATGTTACGGGGATATTGGGCGTCATCTACCTCACTGTGTGCGGTGAGCCAAAACTCGTTCAGTAATGGGCTGTCTGCTAACAAAAGAAATGTGCATACAGTTGTTCGGTATCGCTTACGATCTGGACCAGTGAACGCGTTCAGTGTGCCAGACACGTGCACCTACACCTGACACCGCATCTCACAGGGTGCCGGCCACCACGTGCGTCGTCGCTTGCGGACCCGGCGACACGCCTGGCGTGGTTCAGCTGCCGAAATATTCCCCGAACACGACGTCCGCCACCTGCCAACTTGCCGTCATTACACAGCGCGGCACCGCCGCCGCTCCCAGCGGCCTTGCGCCGGCCGTAAGCGGCGAGCGCGCGCGCGCCGCGCCGCGCCGCTCGTGACGCGTCACGTTAGCGGCGCGAGCGCGCACACAGCGCCGCCTCGCTGCGGCCTTGGACGCGCCGGCCGTCATGGCGCCGGAAGAGCAAGCGGCCGCCGCCTCTTCCAGCCGCGCCGCGCCGCGGCGGAAGCACCTGTTTCCGGAAGCGCCGCGCTCCGGCGCCGCCGGCGGCAGGTGCTGAGGCGGCGCCGGACCGTCTGCGGCACGCGACACGGGGCCGCGGCGCGCTCGGCCGCGCACGCGCGCGCCACGCGCCGCCCGTGACGGCCGCCGCCGCCGCCGCCGACCGGCCGGCGACGGGCTGGAATTATCATACCGCAGCGCGCGCCACACTTGGGCTGCGCCACCACCGCAGAACGCCGTCCGCCCGCCGCTCGGCTTGGGCAATGTGGAGGCCCTGCGCTTAGGGGCGGAGATTATGGGCACACTAATTGCCTTATTAGGTGGATACGGCCCTTTATGCCACATCTTGTGATGGGATGACGGGACTGTTGCATTTTGGGATTACGGTACTGTGCTTGTTATCACCGTCACAGCTCTAACCTGCGCACTGCTCTCCTACTGCCACTTCTGCACGTGATAACTGAACTCATGCCTCGCACATTCCTTTTGGGCGATATGAGTGGTCAGGAGGCTACAAATGTTTGGTACAGATAAACCACCAGTCGAATAAACAGCCAGTGCCATAACTTCACAATGTCCATAACATTGATTTCCATAGGCTAAACAATAGATACAACGTCTCGCATGTAGTGAGATAAGCTACCCCGTTACCGGACAGCTTCGGTAGAAAAGTCACAGGGCGTACGGTGCGGGACAGTTTCCGAAGACCGAGTGTCGTGTTGGATGACAGCCGGTGTGCCTGACCGGCGATCATTGACTCCAGCGGCGACCTAACGATCGAGCCGTGGCGCCAGAGCAGGCCAGGCCCGGCCCGGCTCTGAAGTCTGCGAGGAGACGTCGCCGGGGCCCACCGGCCGGAGACACGCGAGCCAGGCGCCGGCAGTGGGGCGCCCACCCCCACCCCTCCCTCCCTCCCTCGCCCAGCGGCGGGCGAAGGCGGGGGCTGCGTGCCACAGGACGTGGTGAGCACGAAGCTCGGACTTCTTCGCTGACTGGTGCGCTCACAGATGGAAAATGCCGAGAAAAGTTGGTGAGGCGGAGCTGCCAGAACGAACAGCCATCAATAGTAAAATGTGAAGAGTTGACCACAGTTGCTGCGGCGGTCGCCACACCAGCCGTACCTGTCCTCCAGGGCGCGCCGTGACTTGCGCAGGGAACGGCGCGGGCAGGCGGCGCAGTGCAGCCAAACCGTGACCGTGCAATGTCGTGGCGGCGTGTTTCGATCGAATGTTTACGCAAGTATCAACACCAGGCCTGAAAAGCTCACCAAGCCGCACAGCGTTTAACGATGGGGGCCTCTTCAAATCGCGGCATCGGACAGCGGTGAGCGTCCACCGTTGCCATGGCGTGGAGGGCGTGACATTTGTAAACGTTCCGCCAGATTCGTTTCGGGTAGCGACGTTCAAGCAATGCACCCTTCTCATCCTGGACATTGAACGAGCAGTTGGAATTGTGAGGACGACAGAAAACGTCCCAAGGCTCGATCGTTTTATCAGAGTGATCACTCATCAGGTGTCCGTCAGCTCTGATGACCTATGACGATATTTCTAGTGACCCTGCGTGTGGCGACCCACGGACCTTTGCGCACATGTGTATTGCATGTAACGTGCTGGCGATGGTGGTACTGACCTGGCCAGTGCCTGCCCATCCGGGATACACAACCTAACAAATCAAAGCTAAGTGGGTGTACTAACAGCTGAGTGGGAGCACGCTTGGGACGAAGAATCGCGCGAAGCTCTGTCCATGACAGACACCATGATTGATCTCCGTACAGATTATCCCTAGCGAGTAAGATGCATCAGAGTTCATGCACTGGCAGCGGACCAGACTGCTGTAGCGCTGTGTTGATATTCCGACAAAGGATGTCGTGGAAATCTGCCGTCGCTGGCGCAGTTTTATCAATGTGTGGAATCGCTTTGACCTTGTTTGTATTCAGAGAAACGGAGTCTGGTGCGACACGGGTGGACGAAAGTCACGGAAAATGAGCTGAGTCCGCAGCGATAGCTCCGGCTTTCTAGAAACGGCGATCACGGTTTGTGGTGGCACGCACCCTACTTTATCTCTGTGGGGATTCAGGCAAATGCTCGTGATCAAGTAATAGCTCCTGGGATTTATGCAAATATTGAGTATTTACGAACGTGTTTTCACGCATCCCTACATGCATGTGCTTTAAAGTCATTTCAATCGGGTTACAGAAAAAAACCCAGCCGTAAAGGATTTTCGATCAGCGCTGCCTAATAAATTTACAGAATAACTTGTAACGGAGATGAAATGGGGTTTGGGGATTAAGGCAACAAGGGTACTGCCCCCTCTTCACAACCGAGAAAAAAGGCGTCGGTTGCACACAGCCAAACAACAGAATCCCTCACGGTGCCCCTCCCTTGACACCGAAAGGTGCGATTTCCCTGGGAATTTTTATAAGAAGTGAGTTTGTTTAACGTTTAGTACAAATACCGAAAACGCTCGATCATTTGTTTCCAGTCACCTGACGTGATACTCGCCGGTGTTGGGTCTGCCGAACGGTGTAGTAATTACCGGGCATCGATCGGTTTGTGCGGGGGGCTGAGCTCCGGCAGAGCCGAGCTGATCGATACATCCGTACACAAATCTAACGGCCGCCTCGCCAGCACCAGTGCAAACAGCACCACATCCCAGATAACGGCATGCAAAACAGGCATATCTCGCTCTAGAATGGAATTCCGCACCGGTGTCAGCTTCGTCATAGCTGTTTCTGAGTTCAGATGTCATTTCTGCGTGGAAATTTGGTGATAAATGACGGGGCTATCTAGCTGCAGGATAGATCAATGAGCTGTCTCAGCCGAGAAGCACACAGACATTCCCATTCGCCACTAAGCCGTCACCAATCTATGCAATCCTGTGAGCACAGCAAGGCGGCTGAACAGCAACAAAGCATACTACAGCCAAACAGTCAGGCGCACACGACAGCTGCGACACCCCGGCCCTTCAGGATCCCGTCAGCGCTCGACTCACCTATCAGCAGAACGGCGAGCGTCCTCATCTCAGCGGCGGCTGGGGCGGCCGGTCTGCCGTGCGCGCGCGTCTCCCGGGTCACTGTGAGTCGCGCTGCGGCGCGGGGCGCTGATCGGCGGCGGGTGCGGACGGCGGCGGCGCCGGCGGACGAGTGGCGGAGTGGGGGTCGCCGGGCCGCACCAGGCCCGCGGTCACGGCTCGTCGGCCGCGCCCGCTGACGAGGGCAGGTCGCCGGGCGTGACCGCCGCCCGCGCCGCGTGCAGCAACGGCGCGCCGCCGCGCCGGTCATTGCTGCCGCGCGCCGTTCTTGCACGCGACGAGGGCGGCTGCTTTGCCGGCTGGCTGTAGCGAGCCGACAGCTAAACGCCGACACCACGGCTGGAAATGCTCCAGGAGTATTGGCCACTTACATTCAATGTAAGCCGAGTCACTGAGTGACAAGCATTCGAGTCTCGAGGCAAAGAATGGAGGGCCGGTGGAATGTGGCGTCTTTTTGCAGGTGCGCACTGTACTTTCCGGTCTTACGCTGCACTAATTTCTGGCAGTCAGGGCGAGTTTCTGCTGAACTGAACTTCTTTTCGAAGAAGTGTGACGGAAGAAATGAGTAAGCGACACACCTACGCAGCTTTTTCCAAGCTTTGATTCAGTACCCAGCGAACCGCTGCAAGTGACTCACATTCCATTGTGCCAAAGGTTACTCAGGGGTCGCAACGCGTGAAATGAGAGTCGGCGCCAGACGGATCCAGAACAATCGACCCCTGGCTGGCATGCAGCTCCCATTCAAACAGGGAAGATCGTATCGCCCCCAACGATGGCGGTTTGATGACTTTCGCATGGTTTTAGATTTTGGTGGGTGATTGATTATGCGTGCTGATGATTCATCAGGGCAAATGGCACTGATAAATGTGTCTGATGTATGTATCGGTCCGCCTTTTCAGAAGCTCGTTAGCACCTTTAGATGGGCTCGAAAACATTAGAGAAGTCAGTCCAGACGAGCAGAAGTTCAAGCCTAGCAAATGCGGGGCAGCGAGAGTATCGTCACCATGTCTTTTGTCTCCTCCACTCACTGCACCGCGACGTGTTGCATTGGACGGCCGTCGGATCTCAGCCTTCGGATGGAGTCCGTACATGCCAAAACCGACGCTCTGCACGCCGTGTGGCCTAATTGGAAGAGCTTCCGCTCAGCAGCTGTGTGGTGGTGCCGCGTCCACGGCTGGGCTCAAGTCTGGCTCCAGGAGGAGAGCTTCGTCGTCCTTCGCGGCGCTCGGCGTGGGAGATAACAGGCTTGTATCAACGAGATGTGAATCTCGTTAAGCGTCTAGATAGTTTTTGTTAGAAGCCAAAAGTTTGCAAAGGTAAAGTAGTGCAAAAAAATTGATCAGAAAAATGCAGTGTTCGCAGATGCAATTTATAAAACTCAACGTAAGTTTTCAAATGCCTAAAAATTGATGCAAAATACAATAAAATATCCCAATCCTAAAATCAACTTCTGAAAACAAAGCATATGTGAAACGAGCGGAGAACCCGTAGCTTCACAGGAATTCACATAGCCACAAAAAATTATCTCAGCACATGCCCAGTCCCTTCGACACACCGACGTTTCGTGATGAGAATTCTGAGCGGTGGATGTACAGAGAGCAAGTATCGATTGATACTCTCGGCGGATGCTTGAAATGTCCAGCTCTACAGATGTATTAAGTTATTATTTCTCACTCATAAATGCTAACACTAACCTGCTGAAAATCTGCCAAACTGACGAATTCTCGTGAGCGGAACATAACACTTGGTATACAAGGTTGTGTTGTCTCATAATTCATAGCATGACCGTGCTGACAATGTGTCAGTGAAAGCATGTCGGGCTCTAAAAGGACCTTTGTTGGTTAAATTCAGTGGCCTCGTCACAGGTGCAGAGTACTGGGGAAATACCTATGTTTCTCTTCATACAAAACCGAGTGGGAATGCCAACTTGTGTACAAGTTGGCAACTTGTCCCTCGCTCCTGCTTGGTGAGCCCCAAGTCCAGTTTTGAACATGAATTTATTCAAAAGCTGGATGCCAAGAAATTGATTCGAACCAATGATGTTTTACCAGATACATCTTATAATCCAAGTGCATAATAAACACAAGCCTTGAGTCGAGTTCAGTCGGGCCAAATCACAGCAGGACATTCAAAGCATAGCATGTGAACTGTGAACACCTGATTCGATGCTGTGTAGTTACGAAACCAGACACGATTGTATCATACGACAAAAACGAGAGCGAAGCACTATGATTGTATAAGCTAGTCGTAACACTACGATATCTTTAATGGGTCGTTTCGCTGTGAGCAGAGCACTTAGCCGGGCTCCGGGACGAATGCTCCAGAAGCTGCAGGTCGCCCATATTTTGAATTCCACGTGTCACCACGGGAATGTAATTATGTTAACGAGACCGCCATTACCAAGGCAGATGCTAAACCTTTACCAGAAGCAGCGGGCGTTGGCCCCTGTCTCTGCCAAACGCCTATGGCCATGTTAGCACGCATCCAGTAGGCGATGCATTTCAATTTTTGTTAGGAAACGTAGTACGTACATTATCACATAACCGTGCCTCAAACGTAACTTAGTTCCTCGCGAGAAGATGACAGACAAAAGGTGACCACCCACTTTTGAAGGTATGGTATAAGACAAATACTTCTAACAGCTGATTAAGCTGATGTGTAGCTGATTAAGAGCATATCGCCTGAAATGCTTTTATTCTTTGGAGAATGTGCGACCCGCTCCTGGCGTAACCGTACTATTATATCCTGAATGTTCTAAACACCATGACCGACACCCATTTGGTTTCAAGTTACCTACTTTGGTCCAGATTCAAACGTTGCCCTTTAGAGCTCATCATCGGGAAAAACTGTGATCAGCAGCATAGTTCTGAAGTTTGATAATTCATCTTTTTAAAAGCGGGTCTGATTTTAAACATAACTCTGTCTTATTCTTATTATTACGACGGAAAAGTACATCTGGGATCGTACAGAATGGTGGCTACGTCATCGGGACCCGCATCGACAGGCAATATGGTTGACTCACTGCGTGTGCAGCGTGGTCTGTAGGGAAAACGTGTGGCGTCTCCAATACAGCGTGGCCTGTAGGGAAAACGTGTGGCGTCTCCAGTATAGCATGGCCCGTAGGGAAAACGTGTGGCGTCTCGAGTGCAGCATGGCTTGTAGGGAAAACGTGTGGCGTCTCCAGTGCCGGGTGCTGTTCCCTGTTACAATTGTCGATAATATGGACCATAATGTTGCAAGCCTGCAATTGCACATGGCTGCGTAGCACCCAAAAAGTTCGTCTCCCTTTGCCTGTATTTAACCCGTTACTATCTAAGGGATAAAAGTAGCCTTCGAAATCAGGGAATAACCTTGCAACCCCGGCAGGCAGGCTCAGTAGTTGTTCGGAGCCTATTGACGGACTTATTAAGTGACGTTCTTATCAAGTGACCACCTTGGTGCTTATTCTTCTCGGATGCCATATCACATAACGCTGTCGAAATAGAACGTTACGTTACATATATTTTGCTATCTATTTGTCTCATATAAGTACAATAATACATTCTTTTGACGGATCTGGTACTGCCACTGATGATTATGGTCGCTAGAGAGCCCCGAAGTCGTACTCAAATTGTTAAAATGTAAACCCTCGCCCCGCCCCGATCCGCCGCTTTCATTTTATGGACTGAAACGGGAGGTGAAGACAATGCGACACCTACCGTTTCCAAGCTAAGGAGAACAGAGTCTGGCGGCAAAAGACGACCAGCTGATTGGTCTCAACAAGACCGCGATGAATAATAACTTGTATGCTGCTAGCTTAATGACTGACCGTACTGGGCCAGGTCAGAGGTCAATTTTATCAAAAATCAAGCTATTTCAGTTTTGCAGGCCAATATTTAAGACACTATGCACTGTAGCAACATCAGTCTTACGCAGATCTGTAAATGCCACATAGCATCATCAATCTTACACAGATCTGTTCTTTGCTGAATTTTGAGCACATTGGTATGCAGTCGTGTGTTCTGAGCATATAGTCATGATGTAGGGCTTCATTAATGTCACAATGTCGGTCCGCCGCGCGGTATCGTCGGCTGCCGCCCGCCGCCTGCGCCGGCCGTGGATCGCCGTTCAGCGCTCCCAAAACAGCGCCGCTTCCCAGAAATTAGAAATGTTAAAAATACGCTGTAGGGATGTCCTCAGAAAACCTTAAGGGGGGAGGGACTTTACATGTTGCTTCCGACGTGCGTCTTGTAAGTGAGAGTGGGAGAGAGTGGGGAGAATTTGGTGACTTGCACCACATCCGATAAGCATCAGGGGCGATTTACTTATTATGTCTATACGACAGATGCCGGTCTTGATTCACTCGGCTGACCCACAGTGGCGTCCTTTATCTTTCAGTGTGCGTACGGTGGCATACGTGCACACGTCTTGAAATGAAGGCGACACATGGTTTGTTGCATATCGCTGAAAAATCTAGTGATTGCTGAAAATGTGTGTTTAAGGTCCTATGACAAAACTAAACTTGTCCGAATGCTATACCAAGCGGCGGGAAGTGCATGTGCTGCACATGCCGCAAAACATTTGGCGTCTGCTTGCTAAGGATATCGGGGTGCCGTGAACTTCCTCCCAAGATGTTGGGCGAATCATGTTTCATCTGTGTATGAGGCTTGTGTCATGGATACAACGCAAGGACAATAACGCTACCGACTGATGTACTGTCGATAATTAACTGCCATGGTTTCCATGGATTACTGTCGTCCAAACAGTAGTCCGGCATTTACGGTACCCATGAAGATCCAAAGTTTATACCTAAAAAATCGAAAGCAAGGTGTAAACAGTTTTAGAACAAACGCCTAATAATAAGAAAGGGCAGAAATGTGTCATGTTACAATCACGGCGAGTACCAAAAGCAGGGAAGAGCGTCCTTAGTTTACACATCGTAGCACATTCAGTTTGCTGGAGGTGCAGCCGAATCCATTGCAAAATCAATGCAATTTCCCCACCATATGATACAAATTACTCCAGGGTGGTGAAGGGCAGTTTGCATGATTTGAAAGGGGTTCAGTCAGACGCTATTCACCAAAGGAAAAAACGAGCACATGCTCTCCAAAATTA